TTAACATATCAAAAACTTTTCACAGGCAAGGTAAATTAAATTACTTTTTTTTTTTTTTTTTATTAACAGACCCGGTTAACCCAATTACCAACCAAGTATCAAGTCCTGCGGCCAGCAGCACCGAGTCTCCATCTAGAGTGTCACGTGTGAACGTACAAAAGAAAACGCCAGAACATCTACCTGCAGCCGGCGCCCCAGCGAGTGGCGCGTGGGAAACCTCGCACCGCCAGAGATCAAACCCACCAGGAGGCAAATCTAGCATCATCTTCTAAATGGTTTATTCTGAGTGTGGCGGCAGTCCTTGTGGATTAACTTACGGTCTTTCTTGGTTGTAAATCAAAAATGTTCGGGGTTTTTTCGTGACCAAACTGGTTATTCCATGCTGTTGTAATAAATATAGTAATTATTACTGTACACTATTGTTTCTAGCACTGAAAAAATATACAAAACTAGTCACTGGGATATATTCCAACAAAGGTTGTCTGGAAAATGTTGGTTGTATTTTCACATTTTTTGTCTTGCTTGGTTAATCAGGTTTAGTATGGCCTTATTGGTAAAGCTTGTTAATGTTAATAATAAAGTGTGGTTTGCTGTAAATGAAAATACAAGTCAAAGTAATGAATGCTGTATCAAATGACATAATATTACATGATTGGTCACATGGTGTATGACATCATTATTTTTCGTTATATTTTATTGGTTTTGTATCTCACAAATATACTTATCACATTTAGATTTTCTGAGATAATTTCTTAGGTTGTCAAACACATTTACATAGTTGATATTAAATATTTAGTAATTTATTTAATTTAGTTTTTAAAATGATTTATGACATGAACTTTTATATATTTTTTTCTATCTGAATTTTTTGTACAATTTCCTCAACAATGAAGGCAGTGTTTAAAAATGGATACTGCCCTCATTGTTGAGAAGATTGCACACTGCCCTCATTGTTTTGGAAAGTGTATAACAATCACATCAACAATGAGGGCAATGTTCCTAAAAAAATATCTCAACAGTGAAAATAAATAAAAAATTTCACACTGATTAATTTATGAATGCATTTAAAAAAATTTTAATTCACTACACTTTTTTCCAATTAGAAATTTATATTTATTAGATTTTTTTTACATAGGTTGTTTCCTATCATCAACATCCACTTTAGAAATACAAACTTAAACATTTTGTTATAAATTTAAGCAAATTTTCTTGGACTTTTTCGTATTCAAATTCATATTTTTTCTAAATAATTCAAGCTGAAATATAGTGATTATTTATAATGTAGCGTTAGAGCATCAGAAGGAGAGATTGATTAATGTTTGCAATATTCATACTATAATTCCAGTTCCTGATGGTATATTGTATCTGTAATAAATTGACTGCGTTTAACTTAACATTTAATACCAGCTCTTGATATATCAAAATTGAGGGCAGTGTATCTGATAGCCTTCAACTATGAGGGCAGCATTTCGATTATATTTTAAACGCGTGTAACGTGTCCTCTTGGAAGTTAAGTCACCTGTTTACTGCGTAATGTAGACATTGAATTGACGTATAAATCGTAATAATAAAAATATTGTGTGTGCTGTTAAAATGATGAAAATTTCCCTGTTGGATCTCGAGTAGGGTGCTTTTGATTGCACGTTAGCAAGACGTAGAACGTGATAACGTCACAAAGAAGTCATCTGCGCATGCGAAACCGTTAACAAATCTACGTTTTGCAGATTATGATGGTAGGACTGTCATGCATGAGTGGATCCGTTCTAGGTCACGTCGCGCAAATCAAAATCCCCCTGCTGACTAATTACTCGTGTTTGCTGTTTAGTGCTGGTTTAGTAGGTTCGTGCACTGGTTTATCACTGTAGTTTATTAATGAATATGTAATTGTCATTTATTAGGCCTACATGTAATTTATACTTTATGCTGAATGGAAAAATGTATAACCCAAAATGTAGCATCATCATTAAAATCACTTTAGCTGCAGTCATTTCTTTGTTTGTTTATTGCACCTGTTAAAGCTCTGTCCACACTATCAAAATATAACAACAACCAAAATGTTTGCATGCCCATATATAGTCATGATGTGCCTTTAGGGTTATGATGTGATGTCATTACAGTATGACCATATTGGCATATCGGGTTTTTTTTTTTGTCCATTAAAATTTGATAATCTGGACAGGCCTTAAAAACTATAGCTTGTGTGCTGGCTCAAGTGTATTGCAGAGCTTGGGCCTATCTTGGACGCTCCTCCTTCGCTGCTGTTCAAAATAGCTCAAGGCCCCTCATTCACTTCCAGGTTCCCTCTTAGGT